AGTTTAGTAGAACTCAGATATATTAACAAAGTTATATGGAATACAAGAATAAATTGTTGTGACTATGTGAGTACAAAATATATACAGAGTGCTGAGTATATATATTTTTTTGCATTTTTTTCTGTATTATTCTCTTTCACAAGGTGTCCAGACAATATAGATGCGCAGAATCTAACAGCTGTGTTAGAATTCCATCTCATGAAAATCTCAGAGGATCCAGACCTGCAGCCCATCATCTTTGGACTCTTCCTATCCATGTACCTGATCACAGTGCTTGGGAACCTGCTCATCATCCTGGCCATCTGCTCTGCCTCCCACCTCCACATCCCCATGTACTTCTTCCTTTCCAATCTGTCCTTTGTGGATATCTGTTTCACCTCCACCACTGTCCCAAAGATGATTGTGGGCATCCTAACTCAGAGCAGATTCATCTCTTATGTGGGCTGTCTGACACAGATGTCTCTGCTTATTATTTTTGGATGTATGGATGACATGCTTCTGACTATGATGGCCTATGATAGGTTTGTGGCCATCTGTCACCCCTTGCATTACCCAGTCATTATGAGCCCTCACATATGTATCTTTCTAGTTTTTGCCTGTGTTTTTCTAAGCCTTTTGGACTTACAGCTGCATACTTTGATTGTCTTGAAGTTCATTTACTTCAAGGATGTTTCAATTTCCAACTTCTGCTGTGAACCTGCTCAAATCCTTAATCTAGATTGTAGTGAAAACTTCACCAAAAACATAATTACATATTTTGTTGGTGCCATATTTGGATTTTTTCCTATCTTGATAATACTATTCTCTTATTATAAAATCACTTCCTCTATTTTGAGAGTTCTGTCATCAGGAGGGAAGTATAAAGCCTTCTCCACCTGTGGGTCCCACCTGTCAGTTGTTTGCTTATTTTATGGCCCAAGCATTGGGATTTACCTTGGATCGGCCATAGTGCACTCTCCTCAAAAGAGTTTGGTTTCCTCAGTGATGTACACAGTTGTGACTCCTATGCTGAATCCTTTCATCTATAGCTTGAGGAACAGGGACATTAAAGATGCCCTGAGGAAGCTTCATAGAAGAAAAGTCTAATAGCAGAACTTTATGCCTCCCATAGAATATAGGTAGAAAAAGCATCAGTCTTAAGTATATAGTCTTTTAAGTTCTGCCTCCTAGTCACCTTATATTTATAGTTTGAGGGTTTTAATTTCTCATTATAGTAAATAGAATGGCATTTTAAAGTGGTGTGAATCAGGAAGTACATAGACTCCTTAAAATGAGTACTGGGACTGGGGATGTTGCTCAGTGGCACTGGGCCCGCCTGGCAAATGCAAGGCTCTGAGTTCAATCCCTGGTACAAAAAAAAATGAGTACTAAGTTTCAGTTGGGGGCTTGAAAGTATTTAGATATGGATATGAATACCATTAAACTACTGAATCATGCAACAAAAATAATTCTGTTAACTTTTGTTATTTATATTTTACCACAATAAATAATGAAGATAAAAAGTAGATTTTTTTTTTTTAAAGAAGGGAACAAAAAACTAAGTGAATGTCACATAGGAGATTCCTCTTAAATAGAGCAAGAGATGAAAAACAGAGATGGCATCCACTCTGTTTTCATCTTGTTCTTCCTCCATTAATATTAAGAAGTTCTTAACAATTTGGATAATATGGAAATGCTTTGGCTATGAGCTCTGTGCATCAATCTTTCAAATTAATATAAAACAATCAGCCTATGTCCACAGCTTTTTCATTTTTAGGACCAATCTACTGTTATCTATATCTGTGTCTTCCCCTCTTAAAATTGTGTTCTTAAGAAGGTATCTATCTGACATCATATTGATATAGAGCATAGGATCTATCAATGATATAGGACCTCCAAAATAATCCAAATAGCATAAAAGAAATATTATAACTCTCCACTTGTGAGATATGTAAAATGCTGAGTTTGTGTTCTTAAAATCGGAGAATGAATTCTAGGAATAATGAGGTTAAGAGTGGGAATAATTTATTGCAACAAAGATAGCTTCTAAGAGAGACAGAATGAGGACCTAAAAGTGGGCTTTCCACCGACCCTGTTTCTCAAAAGTGCTTTATCAAGCAAAGCCATGAGGTGAGGTGGGTTCAAAGTGGAACAAAACTATAGTCAAGCAATCAGATCCAATTGGAAAATCACAAGGTGAGTATGTGGTGAGAAAAAACTATGATCAACCAATAACATTATAAGTGTAGTTGCTTAGGTAATATTGATTAATTGGGGATCAAATGGAGAACAGTCATATAGCAAGCATGCATGGAATGAATAATGATTTTCTGGAAAGGAAATGCCCTGGGGGGATTGGTCCCCAGTTGAGGTGATTGATGACTATAGAATATCAATCACTGCTGTTCATCTCTAGGGGAAGTATGTGGGTGTAGTATTTCTTCATTTTTGAATCCTGACCTTTTAGCAAATGTGCCTCAGTTGTCTTCTGTGCTTAGGTGTGGGCCTGGCCTAACTGCCTTATAATATTTTCTAACTAGCTTAGCTATCTACAATAATATTTCTATCAATCTCATAGGTAGACCCTGAGCCTTCATTGGACAACTTGTAGTGGGGGAAACACATCAGTTATTCATTTTCTTGTTCATGACCCAGTAGAGATACAAATTATCCCAGTAAGCACAGGGCAGTGTTTTCCCCAAATTTCTATGAGCTACATGTTATATGTTGCTTATTTCATTCATTCTGCATGATCTTCTCTAAGCTGTATGCTTTCACAATATTACTGTCTTACAGAAAAGGAATGAGGACATCATTTCTATGTAGTATATACCAGGTTGGTAGATTGAACACAGTGAAGCCTTGTTTGAATTGATCTGGTTACCGACATGGGACATTTTGGCTGTTGAATCATAGCTCATGGTGCTAACGAGGCAGTCAGCCACTCCACAGCCCTGTCACTGCTGGAAAATATGTCTTGCTCACTGTGCCTCACTTTGGGAGTTTTGGTATTTGGTAGTGGGTAGCAGAGGATGGCAGATGCTCCATGTACCACAACAAAGGTAGATGTGAATCACAGGAAAAGATCACAGAAGTGCATACATGGTAATGTTGGATAGACTACTCCAATATATTTTCACAGTTGACTATATCTTTTCCCATTCTTGTATCTTCCAACTCAATCTCAAAATAAGAAGTAATTTTAGGGCTTTTAAAATTCCTACTCATAAAACTGGAAAGGGTTTAAGAATATAATTCAGGGATCAAAGACCTAGTTGTTTGACCAGAAACTATGAATTGGTTAGAAGAAATCTGGGGAAAACACTTGCATCCATAGGCAAAGGCAAAAACTTCCTGACTAGGGCTCCAGTAGTTCAGGGAATAATATTGAGGATCAACAAATGTGACTACATCACACTTAAAAGCTCTGCACAATAAAAGAAACAAGAGTCATGATATAATGTACAGAGTGGGAGATAAAATTTGCTAGCTGGTCTTCTGCTACAGAATTAATATCCAGCCTATAAAAGCAACTCAGAATTAACTTCAACATAAAAACCCACATACCCAGTCAACAAATAGGCAGATGAAGAGATATTTTCAGAAGTACCAAGGGCCAATATTATATGAAAAAATATTCAACGTAGTTATACATTAGTGAAATGCAAGTGAAAACAATATTGAAATTACATCACACCCCAGTTAGAATACAAACACATTGAGTGCTGGTCAGGATGTGAGAAAAAGGAACCCTTGCACACTGTTGGTAAGAATGTAAAGTAGTACAGTCACTATTGAAATCAGGATGGTGATCAATCTAAAAGCTAATACCGAAAAATATATTTGATCCAATTATATTTCCCATTGGTATATTAAAGTCAGCATAGTATAGTGATAGATGTGAAACCATGTTCAGTCCTGCACAATTCACAATATTTAAGCTGTGGAGCCAGTTTAGCTGCCCATCAACAAATGAACAGTTAAGGAAAATGGCGTTCAACAGATGAATGGTACACAATGGGATATTAGTCATAAAGTAGAACAGAAGATATTTTGTGGAGGGAAGCAGATGGAATTAGAGACCATCACATTGAGTGAAACAAGTTAGACTCGTAAAGTTAAATATCATATGTTTTTCTCTTATATGTTTAAGTAAAATAAAGGAGTGATGACAGGATCTGAATATGTAGAATTTAGAAAGGAAGGTAATCAGGGAGACAGTGGAAAGTAGAGCAAGGAGGCAAAAATGAAGATGGGGATAGAATAATCAAAATATGTCATATGACTATGTACCAGTATACCATAGTATGACTATGTAGCAGTATTTCATTATTCTGTATGGAGGGAGGGTGTGGAAGAAGGTGAAATGAAATGGGTCCAGATTCAATATGCGTATGTACTGATAGAACCAGATAAATGTAATTAGTATGTATCAAAACACATAGTAATAAAAATATACAGCTCAGATATATCAGTGGTTAAGACCCCTAGACTTCTGCTTAAGTCTTTCTGATGACTGGGACATAATGAATGAGATTAAGATATCAGACCCACAGATTAACTTTTCACTTTGAATCCTGTCATACTTATTCCTTTGTCTGGAATTGTAAGTAATTAGTGTTTCTGTGATTCAGTATGGTCATCTGAGTAGATTTCTCATTGGTACAACTGCATTGCAGATGTAAAAGACAGAATGGATCCTCCTTCTGTTGTTAAAATGATGAATGTATAAAATAAACACAAAATAAAACTTATGTCTTATTATTAGTGGTAGTAATGACCAGATGTATTTTCATACAGTTATATCAAAATATCCAGTTACATGAAGTTACTGTTTTTCTACTTTACACTTGTACTTATATGCTTATATATGGAGACAAATTACCAACTCTTTCTTAGTCTGATTCTTGAAGCCTCTCCCTTGTTTGGCACAGAGAACATATCAAAAATTTCAAAATGAGGGCTGGGGAATGGGTCACTGGTGGGGCATTTACCTAGCAGGCTCAGGACTCCATGTATAGCACCAAAAGAGAAGAAGAAAAAGTGAAAATATTTATTAAAAACTAAACCACACCTTCTTTAGTTCACAAATCCTTGATGTAATCAGTATGCTCACAAAACAGTTTTTAGAGTGATCTAAATACTCTTTTCCAGTCCTTTTGAGAATGTCCTGTAGAACTTAAGAAAAGATTTTCAAAACAAAGGATAAAAAGGATATCAGCTTCCAAGAAAGGCAGCTCAATTTGAGCGTTTCAGATATTTTCATATGAAGCTTTGTGTATTAGGAGAAAAAAAAGATAAATAGCTCTTGTTTGAGTTTGTGTCCTGGTCATGGGCCTAATGATTACATTTAACAGCTCTTTCACTTTCATGACTCCCCTGGAAGAAACCTCTTTCTCACTGGGCTGTCCATTTTGGGATTATTGCAAGGTCAGAGTGGAGAGTGTGGATGTCACCACGTACCTCAACCTCAGGAAGGACAGGCCGCATGTCACCCGCATTACTTAATTATTAAGAACCTGACAGTGTGTCTTTTCCATTTGTGTGTGTGTGATTGTGTGTGTATTTTTTATTTCCTGCTACCAAATTTGATTGATTTAATTTACATTCTTCACAGATATGGAAATTTCCATTCTCAAGGCTTTAATCTTGCTTCTTCTGAAACCTTCACCAATAATATACTCATGGATTTTGTTGGTGCCAACTCTGGTTCTCCCCCTATCTCAGGGATATGTTTCTCTTCCTAACTTTTTTCCTTCACTGTTCAAAACTCATGATTATAGGAAAAATAATGCTTTCTCCACCTGCGATACAACCTGTTAGTTTGCTTTTTTAATAGAATAGTCCCTGGAGTAGACTACTCGGGGTTCAGGTCTTTTGGTGTCTTCCACTCTGGCCACCCGTGTGCAAAATCCCTTCATCTGCAGCCTGAGGAACAGAAACATTAAAAATTTACCAAAACTCCACAGGAGAACACTCTTGTCTCAGGACTTCGGCATTCATTTGGACTTCCAGCAAAATTAAACATGTAGAGCTGTAAGTCATGCCTTCTTGTTCATATTATTGATATAGATGTTAATTTATATTTTGTGAATTTATTTTAGAGTGGATTGGTCATTGTCAAGGTTGGGAGAGGAACCGATGATGTGGAGTTTTAAAAATGGGTACAAATTTTCAGTTTGGGAAGAGGAAATATTTCTGCAAATGGATGTTTGTTATATTTTTACATGATGAAAATGACTGATCTCACCAAGTAGTGCACATAAAACTGATGAAAATGATAATTTTGTTGTATATATTTTACCACAATCCACAATGGAAGTAAAATACAGAAAAATCTTTAAAAAAAAAAAGAAAATAAGAGAAGAAACAAATTTAGTGAATAATATGTAGATATTTTCACCTGAATAGAATAAGCATCCCAAAGGTGTGATGGACATATTAGTTTCTTCTTCTTTGCCTCCAGTACTATTAGGAAGTCCATAGGGATTGCAATACGTGGACCAACATGGCTAATTATGAGCTCTGTGCTTTGGGCCTCCAGGGATGTCTAGTAGTCAATATCAGTATATGTCTCTAGCTCTTCAGTGTGACTTTACAGCCAAGTAGCCTCTATAGGGTTTCCTGATCCAAGGTGTCTGTAGCAGAAAGTTTATATCTGACACTATATTTCTGCTAATCCGAGAAAGGAACCAGCACCTTCACTAAGTGCACAAAGCAGAGAAATTGCTTTGGGTCTGCACTCCTTGGTCATGATCCAGCAGAGAAGCAACATTACCCAGTAAGTGCCCAGGGAGAGGATTATCTGATACTTTATTTTCTAATCATCTGATCAGTCAAATAGAAGGATAATAATTGCAAAATTTCAGCTAGAATTATTGTGAACTTTATGTTTCTTGTTGTATTGTGGGCCTCAGATGACTGAGAGTTTTAGTTTCCTCCCTCACTTTTTATGCTTGCCTTAGATATCTTACCCACAGAAGTATAAAGTGAGTATCTCTGTAGTGTTACTTAAAATTGCAATTATGAAACAGATGAAGTTGATGAGGAGGAGGATGGCAGAAATTGTAAGATCATGAAGTTAACAGTCTGGAGAATGCTGGCAAGCTTTGTTATTAACAGCCCAAGTTATGCCATTTCCCTGTCACTCCATAGACAGGAGGTGAACTTTGCTCACTGTGTTGTCCCTTTGGGGGTTCCTGGTAGATCACAGAAGAGTCTGTGGCACCTGCTGCACCCTCTGTAGAAAGGACACCCATAGGTAGGTCACAGAGGAAAATAATTGAAAGATTGGGAACATTATAATTCACCAAACAGCACTCTCATGTCTCTCTCCAGTTGCTTTGGTCACACACTGCTCCATCCCTGTAATCTGCTAGCTCATCCACAAAAGCAGAAATAAAACCAGGGGGCTGATTTCACTTTCACTAAGAAAACTGGTAAAAAATTTGAAACTTTCCTCAGATTTGTACATAATTAGAAACTGGATATCATCTACAGTCTAGTGGTTAGGAAAATTAAGATTAGTAAATAGGATCCAGAGTCCGACAATTTAATTTTGAATCTACTGGTCCCATTTACTATGTATGTGATGAGAGCATATTGTTAGTGTCTCTGAGACTGAACATTAGCATCTGAGTTGATTTCTACTTTATACAATGCAACTGAAGAAGAAATAAGCAGATAGAATTTCTTTCTATTTGATTTATATGTGACAAATATATAAAATAAGGTAAATGTGATTTAAATATTTTTTGTATTTCTAAAATGAGACATTAAATTTGGTCCTTATATATGCTGTATATATGAAAAAAGGATTTACTTGAAAATAGCTATTCTTTCTGAGTAAGATGGAATCTTCGGGTTGTTTTGAAAAAAGATAAAAGAATTACTCTGTTTCCCCAGAGTTTATACCTTGATTTGTACAGAGGGCCAATCAAAAATAAAAACTTCTCTTACACACTGGATAGATTTAGTTTGACTAAAAAAATGGTGGTAATTGGTGTGCCTTCAGCACATTTGGTGCTTTCTTTTCTACAGTGTCATCCTCTTCAGAAATATGCAATAATCACTAGACAAAAGTAATAACTCTTGGACCAGGGATTTAGCTCACTGGTTGGGGCACCTGCCTCACATGCCCAAGGTCCTGAGTTCAATCCCCAGTACCAAAAAACTAAAGTAAAATAAAAGCTCTTATTTATGTCTATATCATGAAAAAAGCTCTAAAATTTTATTTAAGAACATCTGCACAGTTTAGTTATTCAAAGAAAAGACAAAAAATCATGGGTATTAGAAAAAGAAAAAGAGGCACAAGGCAGTGGTAAGCTTTATTCTTGAGTTGATGCACATCTTGGAATCATATTTCAGGCTTCACTGGCTTTTGACACTCGTTTTTATCAATACACTCACCATTTCCATGAAGTTCTTTATTTGAAGCAAACAGACCAAAAGCAAAATTTTGTCAAGTTTGAGACATCCTATAGATGACATGTCAATTGTGAAAATGATTGGTATTCTCTCCCTTTTTCTCTTAACCAATATGAGCATAAGAGTTGGAGAGATTCACACTCACATATGCATATGGTACAAGATTAGTGATATGGGAATAAAATATTGATTTCCTAATGCCCACTCTAGGGCATTATCTCCTCTTTTCATGGAATTATTATTCTTAACACAAGATGATATTTTGTGGTGAATAAGCACACGAGTTTTGCCACTGTATATGTGTCAGCAATACTTAATCAGTTTTCATGAACAGTAATAGGTAATAGAGATTTGATTGGGATTTTTTTATTGAGAAAAACATGTAGATGATTCTTCTAGTATTTTTTTAGGGGAGCTAGATACTGTTACATTTTAGACTATATAGAAGAGTACTGATATGCATGTAATACTAAAGTATTAAAATATTCTCACTGAAATTGGGACAACAGTTCTTTTGGGGAACAATGATTATGATCAAGTGTAGAGGAGAATGGAATCATGCAGAGATACTAATCTCAAATTTCATAGTTGACAAATTGAACCTCTCTAAAATATCAGTTATAAAGAACATATATATTA